GCCTGCTACACTCCCTGCATGCCTGCTACACTCCCTGCATGCCTGCTACAGTCCCTGCATGTCTACTACACTCCCTGCATGCCTGCTACAGTCCCTGCATGTCTGCTACACTCCCAACATGTCTGCTACACTTCCTGCATGTCTGCTGCACAACCCCCCATCATGCCTGCTACACTCCCTGTATGCCTGCTACACTCTCAGCATGCCTGCTACACTCTCAGCATGCCTGCTACAGTTCCTGCATGCCTGCTACACTCCTGCATGTCTGCTACAACTCCCAGCATGCCTGCTACACTCCCAGCATGCCTGCTAACACTCCCTCCATGCCTGCTACACTCCCTGCTACTTCCCTACATGCCTGCTACATTCCTGCATGCCTGCTACACTCCTATATGCCTGCTACACTCCCTGCATGCCTGCTACACTCCCTGCATATCTGCTACAACTCCATCACGGTTGGGATCCTCTCCAAGTATACGATACTATGTGCTGCAAACTGCCCTTCTCACACTAATACCATTCACTTATATATCCATACCTCACCTATGCTATCTGTGCTTGGGGTTCAACTGCAGCAACACACCTAAAGCCAATAATAACCCAACAAAAAGCCGCAGTAAGAATAATCACTAAATCCCATCCCTGGCAACACACCCCCCACTCTTCATAGACTAAACTTACTCCCTGTTCAGTACACATCCACACTTACTACTGTGGCAATCTACATCTACAGGACCTTAAATTCCAATATTAACCTTGACCTAAAACGCTTTCTTGATAGTTGTGACAGAACCCACAGGCACAACACCAGACACAAACATCTCTATGACATTCCCTGTGTCCGACTAAACCTTTACAAAAATTCGATGTATATCAAAGGCCCTAAAATCTGGAACACCCTACCTGAAAATTCCAAAACTGCAGACACATTCATCACCTTCAAAACTACCATCAGAAAACATCTTATCTCCCTGATACACCCTGTCAACTAATAATACAAATACCACCTGGTGGTTCACACTTACACTCACTCACCCATTTGACCATTAACAGAAATATCAATCTCAATCTCAAAATAATGAATCTTAACTAGTCATAAGTTGGCCTGTGATACTCCAATACTGAAACTATGTATAGTGCCAAAACAAAAGCATTCACATTGCTGAACTCACAACTAGTATTTAGTCACTTAGCCATAATACCAACTTACCTCATAATTTTGTAATATTTTAAACTTAAGATTTAATATAAGTCTGCCCGAAATGCCTAGCCATGCTAGGTGTTCTAGTGGTACACTCTGTAATTATTATTTTACTACATGTAAACCACACAATCAAACTAACTACGTAATTAAACTAACATCTCCTTCAAGGTAAGTGCAAATATTTCTTATTTATAAATTGAAATGTAAATATTTCTTATTTATAAATTAAAATGTTAATATTTCTTATTTATAAATTAAAATGTAAATATTTCTTATTTATAAATTACATTCATATATTGTTTGTGAATAGTGGTGGTGGCAGAAGCCTATACGGCTTCTCTCAGTGGCCATTATAAACCCAACAACAACACTTCCATCACTTATCTTCACATACATTATGACATATTTTATTCGTTCTAGAGTATATATCATGTTTCTATGTCATTAACCCTTTGACTGTTTTGGTCATATGTATATATATATGTCTTACGAGCCAGTGTTTTGGACGTATATATACTCAATAATTCTAGCAGCTTCAAATCAAGCAAGGAGAAAGCTGGTAGGCCCACATGTGAGAGAATGGGTCTGTGTGGTCAGTGTGCACCACATTAAAAAAATCCTGCAGCACCCCAGCGCATGATGAGAAAAAAAAAACTGACCATTTTTTGGATTCAAACGCCGAATTTTAGGTGTATTCTCGTTTTCATGGTCCTACGTGATAAAATGGAAAACATATTACAGAAATAGAGGTGATTTTGATAGTTTCACGATGAAAACAACCTTGAAATTGAGCTCAAAGTAGCGGAAATGTTCAATTTTTACCAATGTTCACGAGTAAGCAAATCATACCACACATCCAATACACATAAACTGTGGAGTCTGATATTCTTTCACTAGTGCATGATATTATTTATACCATTTTTACAATAATGCAATAGTCTGCATAACAGTGAATTTTGTATTTTTTTGTATGAATAAAAAATCAAAATAGAAAGCAGTAGTAAATAAAAGAGGGGCCTAGAGATGTGACTGATGAACAGAGGATATGTTATTTTAGTGCCAAGAATGTCTACATTGTTTATTCTGGACCCTATTTTGAAATTGGCATCTTTTTTAATTTGCGTGAAATTGGCCAAATTGCCAATTTCTGACCACTTTATTGGGTAGTTGGAAGTTGCATGACGATTTAATTAGAAAAATGCCTGCAACTAGTGATGATGTGAGTGAATTTAAGGCCAGTAAAGGTTGGAGATTTAAGAATCGTAGTGGCATACATAGTGTGATAAGGCATGGTGAGGCTGCCAGTTCGGACCACAAAGCGGCTGAAAAATATGTGCAGGAATTCAAGGAGTACATAGACAGTAAAGGACTGAAACCTGAACAAGTGTTTAATTGTGACGAAACAGGCCTGTTTTGGAAGAAAATGCCAAGCAGGACCTACATTACTCAGGAGGAAAAGGCACTCCCAGGACATAAGCCTGTGAAAGACAGGCTTACTCTGTTGTGTGCCAATGCTAGTGGTGATTGCAAAGTGAAGCCTTTATTGGTGTATCACTCTGAAACTCCCAGAGTGTTCAGGAAAAACAATGTCCTCAAGGCTAATTTGTGTGTGCTGTGGAGGGCAAACAGTAAGGCATGGGTCACTAGGGACTTTTTCTATGACTGGTTACACCATGCATTTGCCCCCACTGTGAAAAATTACCTAATTGAAAAGAAATTAGATCTTAAGTGCCTCCTGGTATTAGACAATGCTCCTGGTCATCCTTCAGACATGGCAGAGCGACTTTCTGCGGAAATGAGCTTCATTAAGGTCAAGTTTTTGCCTCCTAATACCACTCCTCTCCTGCAGCCCATGGACTAGCATGTCATTTCCAACTTCAAGAAACTGTACACAAAAGCTATATTTGAAAGGTGCTTTGTAGTGACCTCAGAAACTCGGTTGACTCTAAGAGAGTTTTGGAGAGATCACTTTAGCATCCTCAATTGTGTAAACATTATAGGTAAGGCTTGGGAGGAAGTGACTAAGAGGACCTTAAACTCTGCTTTGAAGAAACTGTGGCCAGAATGTGTAGACAAAAGGGATTTTGAAGGGTTTGAGGCTAACCCTGGGAATCCTATTCCAGTTGAGGAATCCATTGTGGCATTGGGGAAGTAATTGGGGTTGGAGGTTAGTGGGGAGGAGGTGGAAGAGTTGGTGGAGGAGGACAATGAAGAACTAACCACTGATGAGCTACGAGATCATCTTCAACAGCAAGAGGTCACACCTGAGGAAACTGCTTCGGAGGAGGGGATAGAGAAATTGAAGAAGTTGCCTACTTCAAAGATTAAGGAAATGTGTGCATTGTGGCTTAAAGTGCAAACCTTTTTTGATGAAAATCACGCTCAAACAGCTATTGCAAGCCGTGCTGGTGACTATTACACTGACAATGTTGTGAAACACTTTAGGAATGTCATAAAGGAATGGGAGGTACAGGCCTCTATGGACAGATATGTTGTGCGACAGAGGTCCAGTGACTCTCAAGCTTTTCCTAGTGGCATTAAAAGAAGAAGGGAAGTAACCCCGGAAAAGGACTTGCCACCTCAAGTCCTAATGGAAGGGGATTCCCCTTCTAAACACTAACACCATCAACACTCTCCCCTCCTCCCACCCCATCAATCATCACCAGATCTTCAATAAAGGTAAGTGTCATGTAACTGTGCATGTCTTCTTCAGTTTGTGTGTATTAAAATTAATATTTCATGTGGTAAAAGTTTTTTTTGTTCATACTTTGGGGTGTCAGGAACGGATTAATTTGATTTCCATTATTTCTTATGGGGAAAATTAATTCGCCTAACGATAGTTTCGCCTAACGTTGAGCTCTCAGGAACGGGTTAATAGCGTTAGGCGAGGGTCCATTGTACAGTCATACCTCACTTTACGTCATTTCAGCCTATGTCAAATTCGCCTTTACACCACTTTTTTAGAGTAAATTTTATTTCAGCGAATGTAATTATGTTCGACCTTACTTCACTCAGCAATGTTACCTGTGTCATAAGTTTTTTAACTGTGTTCATTATTATTTAAAAAATATGACTATAATGCGTTTTTAGTGTTCTCTAAAGTTTAGCAATACGTAGTTCTCTTCTTTTGTGAGTTACGCTAGTTTTACCATGTTTATTGTCGTTTTGAGGCAATATGTCTGGTTTACATCAAAAACTGGGTTACATCGTGGCTTTTGGAGCCAATTAATGATGTAGGGCAGGGTATGACTGTAATAATAATAGTAATAATTATTTTATTTTTAACACACTGGCCGTCTCCCATTGAGGCAGGGTGAACCGAAAAATAAGAAGCGAGAGGTTTCCCTTCTTTTTACATTTAGTAATTTACACAGGAGAGGGCGTTACTAGCCTTTTGTTCCCGGCATTTTAGTTACCTCTTATGAAATACATGGTTTATGGAGGAAGAATTCTTCTCCACTTCCCCATTGAGATGATGATAATAATATATTTTGTACTTTTGTAATGCATCTGAGAAAAATTACTGTAATGTGTTATAATTGCAGTGGAACCCTGAGTTTTGTACAGCTCCCAACTCGAACAATTATGTAAATATATTATTGTGAGTGCTTTTGTAAGTGTATTTTTGGGGGTCTGAAACAGACTAATCAAATTTATATTATTCCTTATGGGAACAAATTTGTTCGGTAACGGCACTCGAACAGCATTCTGGAACAAATTATTGCCGAAACTCGGGGTACCAAGGTATTACTACTTTACTACATTACAGTTATAATACTTTATCACATTTTTGCAGGTGGAGACAGTGGATGTTTCAACACAAGAAAGTAACAAGAAGAAAAATGCTCTCTCAGTGCTAGCTCTCAAAACAGCAGCTCACTTGAACTGGAACTTAGAAATCTTTGAGCAAAAGTATGTGTACTGTCATTAAATGTCTAATTAACATGTGCTGAGACTGTTTTACTTGAGTGAGAAGTCCTTAACTTGGAGGACATTATGTATGACTAATTTTTTTTTTTTTTTGACATAACAACCATCTGCCATTTATAGTATGAATGGATAAATGTTAAGTGGATTACAGGTTTTTGTCACTGTTGTATAATTGGAAAGGATAGGACACTAAATCCTTATGCTTAGTTAAGATGAACAGTCATTTGGCATTAAACTTGCTCCTAATCCTTCAGTCTAAGTATTATAGCTAATGCTGTTGATCTTTAACCCTTTCAGGGTCAGCAGGCCCTCTCCTAAACTTGTTCTCAGGGTCGGAAATTTTCCAGAAAAAAAAAATTATTTTTTCTCATGAAACGATAGAGAATCTTTTCCCGATCATAAAAATGAAATTTGATGGAAAACTTACGGAATTATGCTCTTGCGAAGTTAGCAGTCTCGCCCATGTTTACGTATCGGTGATTTCGCCCACTTTGAGCCTTATTTTTTACCAATTCCAATGGCAAAAATCATAACTATTTCGCTAGAACTCCATTTTTTCTATCGAATGAGTACAAGAAACCACTCATTTACAGATTTCAACTATCCAATAAAGTGGTCAGAAATTGGCAATTTTGCCATTTTCACACAAATTTCAAAAGATGTCAATTTCCAAATAGTGTCCAGAATAAACAAGACAGACATTCCTGGCACTAAAATAACATTTCCTCTCTTCATTAGTCACGTCCCCAGGTCTCTGTTACATTTCTTTTGCTTTCCACTTTGAATTTTTATTCTCACATAAAATAGAAGATTTACTGTTTTGCAGACTACTGCATTAGTGTAGAAATGGTGCAGAAATCGTATAATATCAGTACACTTGTGAAAGAATATTAGACTCACCAGTTAACGTGTACTGGACGTATGGCATGATTTGTTTACTTTTGAACTTTGGCAAAAATCGAACATTTCTGCTACTTTGAGCTCAATTTCAAGGTACTTTTCCTTGTGAAGCCAGTCAAAATCATCTCAATTTCTGTAATATGTCTTCCATTTTATAAAATGAGACCAGGAAAATAGAATACAACCAAAAATAGCATACAAAAATACACTGCAAAGTTGCTGTTTTAAACCAAAAACACGGTCGGATTTTTTTTTTCTCATTATGCACTGTGTGCTGCAGGAATTTTTTTTATACTGCACACACTGACCACATAGACCTGGTCTTTCATATATAGGCCTACCAGCTTTCTCTCGATAGATTTGAAGGCTCTAGAATTGATGCGTACTAGTACGGCACCAGCCCTGGCGTGCAAGCCGTACTAGTACGGCACCAACCTTGAAAGGGTTAAAAAGAAATGCACATTAAATTCTTTTATATTGCAGTATATATTGAGTATATGATAACTGCTTTTGTATATTGATCATTCATCATCTTGGCAATTGTTACACATTTTTCAGATTGCCTCTGCATATGCAAGATGCACTCCTTATTGCACTTCTTCATGAAACTCTGGAGGAGCTGAGCAGTCCAACAACACACGGGACCTTGGACACTGGACCCTTGCTGCCTTACCAACTGTTCAGTGTTGCTTTGTATCATCGCTATGCTCTGAGAGCACTTGTCCAGGCTAAGTTGCCAGCCAAGCCTATCAAGGTCTCCAATGTTCCAATGTAAGAAAACTTCTTCAGTTTAAATATGCTCATAAAATTTTGTGATAGACATTTTGTATTCATTTTTAAAGTAGACTACAGTGGACTCCCGGTATTCAATATTAATCTGTTCCTGAGAGCTCATCGAATACCTAAAATATCGAAAAGCGAATCAGTTTTCCCATAAGAAATAATGGAAATCAAATTAATCCGTGCAAGACACCCAAAAGTATGAAAAAAAACAAAATTTTACCACATGAAATATTAATTTTAATACACACAAACTGAAGAAGACATGCACAGTTACATGACACTTACCTTTATTGAAGATCTGGTGATGATTGATGGGATGGGAGGAGGGGAGAGTGTGGATGGTGTTAGTGTTTAGAAGGGGAATCCCCTTCCATTAGGACTTGAGGTAGCAAGTCCTTTTCCGGGGTTACTTCCCTTCTTCTTTTAATCCCACTAGGACCAGCTTGAGAGTCACTGGACCTCTGTCGCACAACAAATCTGTCCATAGAGCTCTGTACCTCCCGTTCCTTTACGTTTTGTCTAAAATGGGCCACAACATTGTCATTGTAATAGTCACCAGCAAGGCATTTCAGTAGCTGTGTTAGGGTGATTTTCATCCATAAAGGTTTGCAGTTTCAACCCACTGTGCACACATTTCTTTAATTTTTGAAGTAGGCACAATGGATTCCACAACGGCATAGGCTTCTCAGGTTAGCCCCAAACCCTTCAAAATCTTTCTTAATTTCTGTACTAATTCTCACCCTTTTTACCACAGGGTTGGCACTAGAAGCTTTCTTGGGGCCCATGGTGACTTACTTTGCAGAAACAAGCACCAAAAACAGTGATAATATGGAATGTACCGAATGTATTCTTAGATGCGCGCACACTGGCTGGCTTGTAAACACTGGCGCACACAGGGCAGTTCAGGCCACACATGGACACGTCTCGTACGAATCGTATCGAATACTGGGTTTTCAATCGGATACCGAGGCAAAATTTTTGCGTTAAAATGCATCGAATACCGGATTTATCAAATACCGATGCCATCGAATACCGGGGGTCCACTGTAATTTTATTTGACACTTTTTTTTCAGATTTGATACAAGTTTTCCTTGCTTTGTGTGCTTTATTGTGTATGGATTCGCACACAGTATAACCAGTAATTTGCTGTAGCTAGTATAAATTTGCTTTTTTGTGACTACCCAAGACCATTACCTCTTGATTTTTTACTAGATCTCTTTAAATATTCTAAACTGGTAATATGATTAAAAGGAAAACAGATTTAGGTGTGAGAAAAATAAGTCAGCTTATTGTGAGCAAAATTCTAAGGTCAGGTTTCAGTTTTAAATTTCTTTTTTTTCTGAACTTTGGTCATCTCCCACTGAGGCAGGGTGACCCAGGAAGAAAGAAAATCCCCAAAATTAAAATACTTTCATCATCATTCAGCATTTTCACCTCACTCACACATAATCACTGTCTTTGCAGATACGACAGTTTAGAAATCCCTCCAAACTGCAAATATCCCAAACCCCTCCTGTAAAGTGCAGGCATTGTACTTCCCACTTCCAGGACTCATTAATATTAACCGGTTTCCTTGAATCCCTTCACAGAATATTACCCTGCTCACACTCCAACAGCTCGTCAGGTCTCAAAAACCATTTGTCTCCATTCACTCCTGTCTTAGAGGCTCATACATGCTTGCTGGAAATCCAAGCCCCTCGCCCACAAAACCTCCTTTATTCCCTCCCTCCAACCTTTTCGAGGACGACCACTACCCCGCCTTCCTTTCCCTATAGAGTTATATGCTCTCCAAGTCATTCTGCTTTGATCTAGTCTCTCTAAATGACCAAACCACCTGAACAACCCTTCTTCAGCCCTCTGACTAATACTTTTAGTAACTCCACGCTACCTAATTTCCACACTCCAAATTCTCTCCTACCAACCCTATTGAAGTTTTTTTTTTTTTTTTTTTTTTTCAACAAGTCGGCCGTCTCCCACCGAGGCAGGGTGACCCAAAAAAAAAAGAAAGAAAATCCCCAAAAAGAAAATACTTTCATCATCATTCAACACTTTCACCACACTCGCACATTATCACTGTTTTTGCAGAGGTGCTCAGAATACAACAGTCTAGAAGCATACACATATAAAGATACACAACATATTCCTCCAAACTGCCAAATATCCCAAACCCCTCCTTTAAAGTGCAGGCCCTTGTACTTTCCCCTTCCAGGACTCAAGTCCGACATATGACTATTGAAGGTATGCCACTTTAACCCCTTAAAAACAAAGGGAGGAGAAATAAACAACTTGCCTCTTTTATGTACAAAAAACTTCTCACGATTGTCACCAATATCAACGCTCTTTTTCAAATCCCTGAATCATCTGCCTTTTCCCCAAAAATCCTCAAAAATAGCGAGGGTCACTCCGATCCATAAAGGAGGGGACCCAAAATGCTTATAACTGTAACTAATTTAAACACCACTGCCC